TAGATGATTTCTTAGTGCTTTTTAGCATAGACTAGTGGATCTACTTAGTAGTCAGGTTCTATACCCCTGGCAAGGTATAGGATAACACTGGCAGCGTGAGGCAAAACGATGTATCATCACATAACTCTTAAGTGATGGTTGTCGGTTAGAGAAACTCCCACATAAGTATTTTGTATTCTCATATACACAGAGTTAATTGTATTTTTATATACAAACAGAGTTTATATTGTATCTTTGCATACAAATTGAGTTACTATTGTATTTATCAATACACAGAATTGTTATCCATGTTTTAAAGCTTTTCTTTATACTGCATTTATTATACTGCTTTATATTAAAATGAGTTCAGTTGAGTTGAGTTGAGACCAGGTTTGTTCTTTAAGTTCCATTTTCAAGCTTATGTCTTGTTTTAGAATTCCCCTCGCATGCTCGTACATTTAATGTACTGATGTCAGTTGGCCTGCATCTTTTTATGATACAGATACAGGTAACTAGGATCAGTATACAGCGCATTGTTGATTCTAGTTGAGCTTCAGAGTTTTTAGTGAGCCTCCTTGCTTTCGGAGGACCCTTTTTTATTGCTTTGTTAGTTAGTTCATTAGGATGTCGTGGGTCTTGTCCTGACGTCCATCTCAGCTGTTAGAGGCTTCATAAACAGTTAGTTGATGTTAGTTCTTGAGTCTTTCGATTCATGTTTTTATACATTTTAAGTTATTTATTGAGATTCCAGTTTACTATTTAAAGTATTTTTATCATGAGTAAGTCTTCCACTAAGAGTTAAGCAAGGCCAAGGGTTTGCTTGGGGCCAACAATGGTTCTAGAGTGCCAGTCCCGCCCAGGGTGTACGCTCGGAGCGTGACATATTATGATCCAAATTAGTATCTAACTTTTTCACTCTTTTGTCCGCAGATGATTGACACTCGAAGTAATAGCGCAAGGGTAGTAGCTCCAACGACAGAGCAAGCAGCTGAACCCGCAACGAGAGGTCGTGATGGAGGGATAAGGAGAGAAAGAGACAAGGTCATGGGTAAGGTCAAAAGAAGGCCAATAACCTCTAGAGGTGGAGCTCAAAATGTCAATGTACCAAGGGAAGCGACACCAGCCCCACCCTAAGATCCAATATAGGAAGAGATTGATATTAAGAGTGAGGATCATGTTGAACTAGAGGTGAGGACACAAACTGGACTGTAGGTATTCCTCTTATTGATGCGGGGACTATTCAGTAGTATTGGCTTTTCTTAGTGGGTTGACATGATGCGGGGACTGTTCAGTAGTACTGACTATTTTGAGTGGGTTGACATTTACTAGAGTGATTCCAACGATTCAGACTACTCAGTTTCCGATCACTCAAACTATTGCAACTATGTTCCTAAGGTAGATGGGGATGTGGGTGCTGACACTTTGTTCCGTTCATTTCTTGGCCCATGTGATGATTGATACAGAACATGAGATACTGACCAAGTTCTTGAAGCTTAATCCTTCAGTGTTCATGGTTTTGAGGGAGAGGATGCGTTCGAGTTCATCTTAGATTGCTACGAGAGGCTTTATAAGTTGGGCATTGTGCAGCAACTCAGAGTGGAGTTTTTGACTTTCCAGCTCTAGGGTAAGTCAAAAGAATGGTTAAGAGATTTTGTGGAATGTTATTCGTCGATCTTACCTCCATTGACTTGGGCATAGTTTCACACCTTATTCGTGGAGAAGTACGGTTTTAGAGAAGTACGTGTTGGGTTGGTTTGGGTTAGTCTTTGGTCCTCCGACTAAGTGGTTTATTGTGGCTTCCACTTAAGATGGTCAGGATCATGACAGGAACCACAAAAATTTTCTTGAAATACGTTACCGATTTGAAATTGGGTTACACGATAAAAAAATTAGCAATTCGAAAAAATTGACCAAGTTGACGTCATCCCGCCATAGCGAGGGTCAGCAAGGGCATAACTCAGAAATGTGAGTATTTTAATTTTTCCTCTTCTTCTCCAGTGGTAAAATATATGAGTGTTATTCTAAACCCCGCCCTATTAAGCATATCTAAGCCGGGGAACCATATATGAGAGGAATTTCAGCGCAAGTGAGGTCATAACCCATGAAATTCTTGTCCACGTTCGTCAAAATTTACCTCCACAAATCCAGAAGCTCGTGTTATGGACTCTTCAGCAGTTGCTTGGTATTTCGATAGCCTATGCTTTCTTTTTAACAAAGTATTTATACTTGTATTTACTTGTATGATATCTTGTAGATGATCGGGAGATCACAAGTATATTCCTTCATGCACGAAGTTTGAATAGTTGAATTTGTGGTTAGTTGTGATTTAGGCTGATGATGGATTCGTGTAGTTAATATTGATCTTATGATGATTGTAGGGTTATCTTGAGAAGGATTGTGGGCAATTAGATTATGATCAGGAAACATTGGGGATAGAATCCTTTCGAGTAGGTAATGGTTATTTATTTTCTTATATATGCTTTATGTGCTTGTCAACTGCTTGGTTAGTATTACATGCATGATATTTGGTTTGGAAAAAGGAAAGAGTATGATTTCAAATGTTAAATGTTGCCAATCGCACGTAATGACTGTGTTTTACTTGAGTGTACAAATATGTTTGTTATTCATTGTGATTCTGATATGTGATTGATGGTTGGCTTGGGTACTACGTCCGATAAAGAATATCCCATGGTTGGCTCAGGTACCACAAGTCCACACTTGGTACACACTGATAGTTGACTCGGGTACCACATCGGGTACATACTAATGGTTGGCTTGAGCATTACGTTTGGTACGAGATATTTATATGATTGGCTCGGATACCACGCTAGTATAAATTACTAATTGTTGGTTGGGGTACCAGGCTTGGTACATTGAGTGTTTGTGTGTGGATTTTATGAGAGCTCGAAATTGACTTGTGATAATCTTACTATTCATGTGTATTGTGAATGTCAATTCAGGGTGCAGACTGGGAGTCTGAGATATGTTTATGATTGTAGTATTAATTGTATGTTATTTGTTTTATTATGTTATGGTAGCCTATTCATATTTTGTATGCTGGAACTAGCCGATGATCCTACCTTATACACTATGATTTTTTAGTACTGATACTGCACTTACTCTTTTATTTGGTTCCTAATAAGGCATATTTCAGCGGTTGCTTCGCGACCTCAATTGTAATCCTAGCGTTAACTGAATCAAAGGGCAAGCTAGTTCTTTCGAACTGCCATGAATTCGTCTTATTTTTCTAGTTCATTTTTCTGGACTTAGACTCTCTTTAGTTCTTTTATTTTGGGCTTGTGTCTCTGTATTCTAGACTACGTTGAACTGTGGTACACAATTTTAAGTTAATAGGGTTCTTCTGCAATGTTTGATAACTATGATTTTTAATTATGAAACTTGTTTTAAGTGTTGAGACTACTTTTTTTTGTTATTCAGTGATGTGTGTAAGTAGTTAATTGATTCTTCCATCGAGAATTACTGTGGATGCCACTCACGACGGGTCAGGGTCGGAGTATTTGTAATAAGTTCTTTTAAAATTGAAATTGAAATTAAATTTTGTTTTATTTATCATATTTCCTTCAATTCTTTTGAACTCTTGTAGTATAAATAGAAAAATCTTAAATCAATCTAGTATCAATTTATTTCCTTATATGATATGTGTTACTACATAATAGTCAATTCAACACTTCTTTAGATTCCAAACAAATTTTTTGGTGATTGTTGAAAATATCTATTGAGTCGGGTCTACCCATAAGGAATGTTAATTAGTCCATTAGCCCATTAACTTGTCCGCCTCCTAAACCCTATTATGTACTGTATAAATACATCATTATAAGTGTTTGGAAGAACACTCTTTTTTCACAATAATATGACTACTAGGGTTAGTAAGGGTATCTAGGTTGTGGATAGAGAAAGTACATCTACTTTGTGAATTTTTTCGATGGCCGGTGACAAAAGGCGTGGTTGCTACAATTCTGCTTCCGCTAGGAAGAAAACATGTAAGTCTCCGAACTAATATTTATTTTGATTCAAATACTATAACAACAAATTTCACAACTTCTCTTACTACATTGATACCCATCATTTGACCAGATCTTAAATTTCAACTTGATATTTCATCATTATTAATGCTGCTTTATATTTACTAAATTTTATTTCGATGCTAATAAATCAATAAGATCTAGGTAAAGTTTGATCATTTGGTAAAATTGAAAATGATCGCAAAAGTGAATCAATCTATAAAATTGCTAAATTAATCTGATTTTCTTTTAAGTAAAAAGTGAGTCCAACCACACCGCACACTCCAACAAGTGGTACCAAGAGTGTTAAGTGGGTCGAGGCGATCCAGATCGAATCTGACTGAACCAATTTCCTCCCAGACCAGATCGACTCATGTAGATAGAGCAGGGTTAGGTTGGGTTCATAACAAAATTGGGCCCGTATAACCTTAGCTAGACTATTAATGGCTCAAAATCTGTTCAACTCAGTTGTGTTATGTCACTCTTGAATCGTTACTCAGATCAATTTGTTTTATACTATATTAGTCTAATTTGATAGTATAGTTATAGCAAAAATTGAGTCCAACCATACCACACACTCCCATAAGTGAAATTAAGGGTGTCGAATGGGTCAGACTAATTCAGATCAGATCGAATCGAACCAATGTAGAGAGGGTTAGGTGGGTTCAACACCAAATCAAAACCGCATGATCTTAACTAAACTACTGATGTCTCAAAACAGATCCAACCTAGTAGTGTTACGCCATTCCTGAACAAATTACCAAATCATCCCTAACTAGATCTAGTAATACCCAACCCTAGATGCCCAATTTTTCCCGAATAACCCCAACCCCGAACCGTCTGAATTAAATATTTTTTGAACCAGACCGGTTCAACCCAACCCTTAACAATAATACCCATAGGTAAAACCGAACAATGCTATAATATAGATAAAAGAAATAAATCTTGAGTCACATGAGATGCATGTGGAGATTGTGATTTTAGAAAAATGGGGTTGGGGGTTATTTTTGGAGAGAAGGCATAAGGTGCGTGGGAGTGGGAAAAGATAGAGCAAAAAAAAAACTGGTCCTTTCATCAGGTGGGGGTAGTTGTATTGCACTGGCCCTTTCTTTCAAAGAAAAAAAGATTCCCACTCTCTTTGGTCTCTTCTGCCTTTTCTCCCCCTTTCTCTTCTCCTCTTCTTCTTCTTCTCTATCAAATTACTATTTTTACTGTAGCATTCATCTTCTTCATATTCTTCTCTACTTATTTTTTTATTATTACCAAAATCCCCCAAATTAAATTCTCCTTCGAGTAAATATAACCACATATATATAAAAATTATTTGTTTGGGAATTTTTGGTATTATTGATCTAATGATGACAGGTCCAAATATGGCTACTATTACAGCTTCTCTCCAAAATTGTTCGCTGAGTAATCATCATCAGCGGGGCGGCACCAGCCGCAACAGCGCGGGTATCGCCCCGCCAGATGGAATTTCCGATTCATCGGAAAATATCAACACCAACACCAACTTCAATAATAACAACAATCCTTCAAATGATGCTACTGTGGAACTCAATTCTGAAACTGCTCTTCCATACCATTGGGAACAATGCCTTGATTTGAAGGTAACAAAACAATTTTTATTTTTATTTTTGGGTATATATTACAATAATTTGTCTTTTTCTTGACATTTATTGCTTTCTTAACCTTAAAGGCCCAGATCTTGGATTTAATTTCATTATAATTAGTACTTGCATTACTACACTTTGTTTGGTCAGTTTGTCATTTTGGTCTCTTTCATTTATTATTTTTTCCTCCTCTATCCACACACAAAACAAAAGGAACGAAAATTAATTACAAACAAACTCCTCATTTTGAAATTGGTGAATTTCTTTTCCCCATTTCCTTCACATGTGAAAATCTTTTCTTGGTTCTCAATTTTTCATAATCTTTTTTAAAAAAAAAAACATGCATTTAATTTCTCTAGATATTGCAAGGAAAATTTTACAAATTGTTGTAGTTTACTCCCATCTTTTATAACCATTATGTTTGGATTAGCTTGCATTGATATCGAGTAACTCTATCTATCAAAAATTTAGACAAATAGAAAGAAATGCCTAGTTTTATTTTCATTCTTATACTATTTTTTGGAAAATTACATTGTTTTATAAGGTCAAAATTGAATCTCTTTTGGTATTTTGAGTTTTCTTACTGAAAATTCTGGCTCCGCCACTGGTTATGCAGACAGGGGAAATTTACTATTTGAACTGGAGGACAGGGATGAGAGTGAGTGAAGATCCAAGGACAAATGTTGTTGCAACAGAAGAAGTGTACTCAGAAGAAGACTATGACAATGACGATGACGATGACGATGATGATAACAACTCTTATGATAGTGAAGCAACTTATTCAGAAGAAATGCCATCATTTTCATCTTCAAGAGCTGAAACTACAATACCACAAATCAATATTCTGACTACTGAGGCTTTAAGGAGAGCAGCACCACCATCAGCACTAGCAGCACCAGTACTAGTATTGGGTGGATGCAAGGCTTGTTTGATGTATTTCATGGTGCCAAAAGAAGTTGATGATTGTCCAAGATGTGGTAGACAACTTCTTCACTTTGATCAAAATTGAAGGAAGGATAAAAATTAGAAGAACATGATGAGATACTATTTGTTTTGAATTTTATTTTTATATTTTTCTTTTGATAGAAGTTTGTTTTCGTTGGTAGTAGTTTGTTAATGTGTTTTTTCTTCTTTAAGGAAAGACAAACCAACCATTATTTTATAAACAATATTTATCGTGTGATTTTCTTCTTCTACTTTTTTTTTCCCCTATGTGCTAATACTCCTTGTTTTTGGTTTATGGTTTTTGTGATCTATCAAGATGCAGGAGTTGATTTCTCATACGATCACTCTTATTATCTCAAAAAGTTACGTGACGTTTTGAGTAATCAATTGAAAGATGAAAATGGTAAGTAGCATTCATCTTCAATTCTGAGGTTATGGATTTGAGTCATCTAAGAATGAGTTGAAGTTTTTAGAACTCTAAGGTTGTGGATTTGAGTCACCTTTAATTTCAAAGTTTGAAGTTATGGATTTGAATCACCAAAGGAAGAGTGGAAGTTTTTAGAACTTTGAGATTGTGGATTTGAGTCACCAAAGGAAGAGTGGAAGTTTTTAGTGAGAGGTAAATTTTTTTTAAAAATAAAATCATTAATTTTTAGATGTATCTTGTGATTTTCTTCTCATTTTTTTCTATGTGCTACTCCTTGCTTTTCTTGTGCTTTATGATTTTTGTGATAAATGGTGAAATTAGGATTTGCACAAAGGGATTTAAAATATATAAAAATAAATATACGAAGAAGCGAAAGAGAGTTTAATACAATATAGTTTTTCCATGAGGGTGGGGTGTGGTGTTTCGAATTCCCTTAGCGCTACGCCGCTATCTAGCTCTGCTCCTATATGTGATCTATAGAAGATAGCAGAAATGATTTTTCGTATAACCGTTCAATTAATAATTATTATCTCAAAAAATCACGTTACTATTTGAGAAATGAATAGGAAGATGGAGGGGTGATTTTTTTTCTAAAGTGCTAGCTAGCAATGAGGTCAACCATATACAGGAAGGATTTGATAATGGTAAATGAGTGCGACATGTTGCTTTCTTTTAAGTTCAATAAATTTTGTTCTTTTTGGGCAATATTTTTTTTTGTTACACTTTTTGAAGACATAAATTTAAAACTTTATGAGTTATTTTCTTAAGCATCTAATCAATTTTTTTTGCTTAATTTCCTAATAATAGAAAATAAATAATCATATATACCTCAATGTTAGTCGTGGGCTCAACTTATTTCTTATGATAACATTTTGTTTTTCTAGTAGCACCCTTTCGAAATAATCAGAATAGGTCTAGTTCAGGGGACAAATCACACTATTTGATCTTATTTTAGTAGTAGTATTTTTGTTTTTCCGTGATATTAATGTTCTATTATTTATTTATTTATTGCCAAAGTCAAATGGTTTTAGACACATTGTACTATAATGGTTGTTATTTTATTTAATAAATGAAATGAAATTGCATAGACGTGTATAATGTTTGTTAGTGGATGCCTAAAAGTTGACTAAGAATAGATTTAATTTTCAGGACATTTTTTTTTTTTCACCTGTATTATTATTTATTTAAAACAGTTTGGTCATCTCATTGGCTTTTCGATTTGTTTTTTTCTAATTAATTGATTGATATGACTATGATAAATAAAACAAAGAAAAAAATTCCAACTTGGTTGAAATATATGTCCTTTTAATCAAACTTGAATCGGTGAATTAATATTATGAGATTAATTAAAGTCCTAGTCAAATAATTGTAAGTTTATATGATTGTAATTAAAATTAAACTTTTTTTTAGGACTCTGTGTAACATTCTTTTATATTTTCTCTTCTCTGAAAATTTTAACTACCTTTTAATCTAATTTGTCTTTTGTTTTGTTTCAGTTTTTTGGTTTCAGAATTCTCAAATGTAACGTTTTTACTGTTGGTATACTATTCATGTGTACACAAACACATGGATCGAAATGCAAGGAATAAAAAGATCACGGGAAAGCAAAAGGGTGTAATTGTTGATAAGACGTAAATTCAAGATTTTAGCTTTATGAGTTTAAGATTATACAATTTTTAGTATTGAACATGTTATTATTTTTAAAGAAGTTATGAGGGATTGAGTTCATATTTATTACTTCTTGTAATTTTTTTACATAAATTTATATTTCACATCAAAAATATCGAAAAATAAATAAATTCGATATCAGTACCGTGCATCCGCTTTGGTGGATGATCTCTCTCTCTCATACATAGATATATATACACGTAATAAAAAGTGGTACAGGTAAATATAAAATTTCAAGAATATAAGTGCATCATTAAAAAAAAATATGTGAGAGTTAATCCCTAGTTTTATAGGTGAGTAACATAACGTTCAATCAAGCGTACCATTTAACTTTTTTGTAGCATAAATGGCAGTAGATAATATTAAACTAATTTTAATAAGTATATACATAAAATATCTAATTTTACGGAAAGACCATATGCCAAATATTTTACCGATAAATTCTCCCGTAAGAGACTGAAAATTTTGAGGGTCCTACAATAACTTAAAATTAATAATTGAGATCACAATAAAATATTCACAAATATCTAGTGTTTTTCTTAAAATATGTAGGTTCAAAATTAAAGCTACTAAATTTATTTGAACCCATATGTAACACGTAAGGATGACAAAATGATTGAAAAGAAATAAGTAACCATTCAATCTGATCCATTAATAGACATGAGTTGGATAACTGACTTTTTAAAAATGGATCAAATACAAATATTATCCACTAAAACAATTTAATAGATAAAAAAATAGATCTCACACTTTTAAGTTCTAACCTTCAAAGTATTCCAAGCCCATCAATTATTATTTTTATTTTACGAAAGTTTAAGCTTATTTTAACTTGTAACTTGCGTTTGTACTTGATGATTCCTATAAATATCTAGATTATATTATATATTGATCAACCCATTTTTAGTTCGTATCACATATTGATTGATCATTTTAACCTGTTCATATTCAATTTGACCCGCTCATTTACCATTTCTACATAATTTGAGTTAGTTACTATAGACTCTATTGAAATCTATAACAGCCCAGTACACTAGTGATATTGTTCGCTTTGGGCCTGGATCCGCATGATTTTAAAACACGTCACTAGTTGGTAAAGTCTGTTTACTTATATACCCAACATTTCTCCTGTGTTTTGCTGTTGTAAGACTTTTTATCTTAAGTTGGGGTGCCATATAACCCATGCGCACGTCTAGCGTCTAGCAAGCACGACCGTTCATTGAAGAAGAAAAAATAGTATCATAATTAGTTTTAATCTGTTACGTGAGTTATATATATACTAGTAGGTAAGTAGGTTGGTAGATAGGTAGAAATTCAAGAGAAAGGGACAAGGGAGAGGCAAAGAAGCTTTTGGTTTACTTTAGGTTATATATATATATGGCAGAAGGTGGTATTATTTAGCAGGAGAAAGGAATCTAGACAGAAAGGCTCAAGAGTTTTGGCAGAGCAAAGGATGGAGAAATATCGATGTTTGAGGGCAATATATAATATTCGTAGATGTTGATAGAGTGAGACAACATGTACTCACTATAGACACGTCCCTCTCTACATTTTTCATTGTTCCCAACCCCACACCCCAACCCCAACACACAAAAATATTCTTTTTCCTAGTGAAATTTTTAAAATTTAATCTGGGGTGGAGGGAGAGTATTAGTTACGAATTCATTTGTTCGAATCTTATTTGAACGGTGAGAATAACTGATTAAGTCGTGTTATAAGAGGTTATTCTTCAAATGGATGATGTCAGTGTTTAAGTTGTTGTTGGGTGATAGATCGGCCATAGGAGTACTCCTGGATTTAAATTAGGACTTATGGGGGGTTCACATGAACCCAATAACTTTTGGTTTGATTTTGTGTTTGTATTAGAAAATTAATTAAGTACATAAACAAGGTCTAAGCTAGGTAGGGACAAGGGGGTTTAGTGAAAAATTACATTGTTTATACATGATTAAAATTATTTTTATGTATATATAGTAGATGTTGAACCTTCTTCGGATATTTACCTTTTCATATTATGAACCTTCAGGTATGAGTTCGATGAAAAATTCGAAACCCCATAAATTTTAAATTTTGACCACTCCAGTAGAGGATTCAAAATTTTCAGTAAAGAGATTCGAAAAATAAAGAATGTAGTATTGGAATTTGAACTTGAAACCTCAACGTGAACTAATTTGAACCCCTAAACTACTAATTCAACCTCTAATAATCTTGTGTTATCAAAATCAAAGTATAATACTAAACATTAAAAAAAAAAACCTGTATATATAATGTAACTTTTTACCTAGAAAATTCAGATGAACACCTTCACTTCCTTGTAAATCCGCCCTAGACCCACCTCTAAAAATAACCATTAATTAATGAGTGATTCTAAGACTTCATACAATAACGAAAAGAGCACAAATTGGTCACATTTGCAGTAACATTGTGTCATTAATTGGAGATATAACTTGTGATATTGTTATGAAAGAATCGAAAGAGAGAGAAGTCACATTATGGGATAAGTAGGGACTCTTGCGTAGGAGAAAATTGACATGTCCTCAGCTCCAAAATTAAACAACTTATGATGTCAGAATTGTTTATAAGAAAGATAATAATTCATTCTCTCAATCAATGCGAGACACTTAGAACTTAACTCAATTCGAAAAGTTGATTCAAAATGTCCAAAAATATATAAAAAGATACTTATTTTGTTTCAATTTATGAGACATAACTTGAATCTTGCACGGAATTCAAGAAACAAATAAGAATTTCTGAAACTTCTCGCGTTAAACATGTCATAGCTATTAATTTAGTATTTATATAATTACAAAATTATTAAAATTTAGAGTGAAAAGTGTGAAACGGGGATGTCCGACTCTGATATCAAATAAAAGAAACAAGCCCTAGAACTCAACTCAATTCGAGAAGTTGATTCAAAAAGTTAAACACGTCTAAGAGAATATAAAAAGATACTAACTCTGTTTCAATTTATGAAACATAAATTGAATCAGCGTGGAATTTAAGAAACAAGAACTTCTGAAACTTCTAGCTTAAACATGTCATATCTATTAATTTAATATTCATGTAATTATATAAAAAAATTAAAATTTAGAGGATGAAAAGTGTGAGACGGACATGTCTGACTCTAATACCAGATAAAAGAAACAAACCTTAGAACTT